GGATAGCTCAAGGTCAGGGGTTTGAGATCAGCCTGAGCAACAGTGAGACCCTGTCTTTACTAAAAATAGAAAGAAATTAGCCGGACAACTAAAAATATATAAAAAATTAGCCGGGCATGGTGACACATGCCTGTAGTTCCAGCTACTCGGGAGGCTGAGGCAGGAGGATCGCTTGAGCCCAGGAGTTTGAGGTTGCTGTGAGCTAGGCTGACACCATGGCGCTCTAGCCCGGGCAACAGAGCCAAACTCTGTCTCAAAAAAAAAAAAAAAATCACATGTACAGCAGCTGCATAATAAAGGATTTAGAAATAAATTTAACCCTGGAAGTAAAAGACCTGTACACAGAAAAATATAAAACACTGACGAAAGAAATTAGAGGAAACACGACTGAATGGAAGGATATCCGTTTCACGATGGGAAGAATTAACACTGTTGAAATGTCCACAGTACCTGGATGGTTGAGTTTGGGTGTCAGGCCGCCTGGATCAGGGAACACCTGGGAACCCGGCAAAGCACTGTCTGTGAGCGTGTCCGTGAGGGTGTTTCCAGAGGAGGTCGGCACGCGAGTCTCAGCGGGCTCCGCAGGGAAGATCCGCCCTCCATGGTGGTGGACATCGCTGACCTGCTGCAGGCCTGGCGAGAGCGGAAGCAGATGGCCAGCGTGTCGGTCTACCTGCCGGAGCGGGGACACTCTCCTCTCCTGTTCTGGGACGACTCCAGGTCCCCTGGCCTTGGGGCTCCAGGACTCGCAGCAGCGGCCCTGGGCTCTCAGGCCTTCGGCCTTGGACTAAGAGTGTCCCCATCAGTCTCTCTGGTTCTGAAGCTGCCAACCTGGACTGAGCCCCGCCACCGCTTCCCAGGTCTCCAGCGTGCAGACGGCCTCGGGAGACTTCTCAGTCACCGTAACGGCGTGGGCCCATCCCCCCGTTAAACCCCGTCATATATATGTACATGCACACAGATACACACGCAGATACATATGTTCAGCCTATTGATTCTGTCTCTCTGGGGAATAATACACTATTCGAAGTGGTCTGCAGATTCAGTGCAATCCCTACCAAAGTTCTCATGACATTTTTCACAGAAACAGAGAAAACTATCCTAAGATTTGTATGAAAACCACAAAAGATCCTAAATAGCCAAAGCAATCTTCAGCAAAAAGAACAAATCTAAAGGCGTCACACAACCTGATTTCAAAATATACCACAAAGGTATCATACTCAAAACAGCATGGTGCTGGTATAAAAACAGACCACAGACCAATGGAGAGTGCAGCACAGAGAGTGGAGAAGTAAATCCACACGTTTATGGTCAATTAATTTTCGACAGAGAGTCAAGAATACACGGTGGAGAAAGGACAGCCTCTTTAATAACTGGTGTTGGGAAAACTGGATAACCACATGCAGAAGAATGAAATTAGATCCTTATTTCATCCCATATACAACGATCAACTCAATATATTAAATATATTAAAGACTTAAACATACGACCAGAAACCCTAAAACTACTAGAAGAAAACATAAGGGAAGACTCATAACATCGGTCAGGGCAGTGATTTTTTTTTTTAGCAAAAATAGACACGTGGGATCACAGCAAACTAAAAACTTCTGCACAGCAAAGAAAACACTCAACAGAGTAAAGGGGCAATATGCAGAATGGGAGAAAGTATTTGCACCACATATCTGATAAGGGGTTAATATCCAAAATACACAAGGAACTTAAACAGCAAGAAAACAAATACCACAATTTAAAAATGTGCAAAATTTAACAGGGCGTGGTGGTACACGCCTGAAGTCCCAGCTACTCGGGAGGCTGAGGCAGGAGGATCGCTTGAGCCCACGAGCTCGAGGCTGCAGTGAGCTGTATTGTGCCACCGCCCGCCAGCCTGGGTGACAAAATGAGACTCCATCTCTAAAAAAAATTAAAAAGTTAAAAATGGGCAAAGGATCTGAATAGACATTTCTCAAGACATACAGATGCCAATAGGTATATGAAAAAACGCTGAACCTCGTTAATCATCAGAGAAGTGTAAATTAACCCAGAATGAGATACCACCTCACCCCCGTTAGCATGGCTGTTATCAAAAAGATGAACAATAATAAACAAGTGTTGGTGACGGGTGGAGAAAAGCAAGTCCTTGCCCAGTGTTGGTAGGATGTAAGTTAGTGCAGCCGCTAGTGGAAAACAGTGGAGGTTCTCCCCAAAATTAAACACAGACCTCCCGTGTGATCCAGCAAAGCACGGCGGGCACATCTGCACCCCCGTGTTCACCACGGCACGAGTCGCGACAGCCGAGGCTCGGAGTCACCCGCCCGTCCATCAGCGGTGACTGGGTCAGACAATGTGGCGTGAACGCAACTCAACGCCCGCAGCGCTTGCAAAGAGGGAAATCCTGTCATTTGTGACGAGCTGGCTGAACCCGGAGAAGGTTATGCTCAGGGAAGCAAACCAGGCACAGAGACAGGACCACACAGGCTCACGCGTAGAATAAAGACACTGAACTCACCGGGGCAGAGAGTGGGTGGTGGCTGCCGGGCGGGAGGGGTGTCGGGGACACGTTGGTCAAAGAACACAAAATTTCAGTTAGCAGGAAAAGGTCCGAGGGACCTTTTGCACATGGTGGCCACAGTTACTGATAATGTACTGTATATTTGAGAATTGCTAAGAGTAGATTCTAAGTGTTCTCACCACGAAAAAGTAAGTATGTGAGGTAATACATATGTTA